TCACATGCCTTCTTAATGGAATGATGCCGATCTGAAACTATCACCAACGGATACTCGTCTGTAAAACACTCCCGCAATTTTCTAAAAAACCATTCCCATGCGTGATCATTCTCAGAGTCCACTATTCCAAAAGCTAGTGGAAATATCTGTAAGTTACCATCTTGTGCTGTGGCCACTAGCAGATTCCCTTCATACTTTCCAGTCAGATGACACCCATCGACAACAATGACCCGTCTGAAATATTGAAAACCAGCTATGGAGGCTCTGAAGGCTAAGAATAGGTACTTGAACCTATTCTGACTGTCGCGTTCAAGGGCAGTTATAGTACCCGGATTTGCTTCAGCGATCAGACGCAAATAAGAAGGCAGTCGACTATATCCATCCTCAGGGGTTCCCCTCACACATTCTTGTGCATACATCAAAGCTCTATACGAAGTTGTGTAGTCTATTTTCAATTGAAACATCGCCTGCATTGAATATTTGATGTGTTCTGCAGTAATCCCATCAATTATTCCCACACGCTCTATAAATAACTTTCCAATGTATCTTGGAGTCGTATGCTTTCGGTGAGCCAACCGATCTGAAACTGAACAGGTATGAGTTTTGACATATTTAGTGACCCAAAACGTCTTTGCTTCGTTCTTTACAGCTGCTCTAACTCTCCATTGGCATCCTTTAACAGCACATTTAGCAACAAACAGACGTGTCGATGACTTATCAACTCTGAATGCAAACTTCAACATAACAGCCGTCAACCTGATCTCAGAAATCAGGTCGTCTTTTGTAGCAAAACTTCCGTTTACTTTTATTTTGTTAACCCAATTTCTTTCATATCCTCTTTGAGGAGCCTTCACCGGTTCTTCAATCCACTCACCCTCTGAATCAGAATTTGAATCCTCATCCTTCACTTTCCCATATTGGCTGTAGTCCTGATCCTCAGAGTCCTGACCCTCAGAGTCAGTACCGTCTTCCTCCTTTACTGAATCGTTTTTGATGTCCTCGTTTATCTCATCATCATCATACTCATCGACATTTTCATCTTCACCTTCCTCAGTACTTTGATTCCCACCTTCAACAGAACACCCATCAGCAGCATCAACACCACCAGTACGTCCATCATTGTCCTTGCGACTAGATACACAAAGACGTATAACATGCGTCTTACTCAACCCAATCAAGCTCTGTACTTGTCTATCATTAGTAATATGCATAGGAGGGGTATCCGGAGCCATGTGTGCTAACATTGAATCTGGCAATGCATAAGTGATAGACACGATGTCCGTATTTCCATCCAGCATGTAATCATCTAGAGCCATAGCTACGAGTTCTCCATGTGTACAACCATCATTCAAGAAGAACAACCTCCCTCCTTTGCGATTATTCACCTCAAAATCCCACGACTGAGCACCCATAACCCATTCTCCAAATACAACAGGCAACTGAGCCGCCATCTCCAAAAAAGGTAAACCACATAAGATAAACCGTGTTTTCCAAGTAACATAGAGCAGACTTCTAAAAAAGTCTGCTATAATCGGCTAAAAGTCTAAACATTCAAGAAAAATCATCACTTTCTAATTATAATACATATCAACGTGAAACTCACGTATATGGAACCAAAAAAGGCAGATCAACATGTCCGAACAATATATTTATTTTAGCATATACCATTAATTCGAAAACGAATTTTTTGTTAAAATAATTAGGCAGACTTCAAATGTTGTCTGCTTTGTTATTCTCCTTCGCCAGGTAGACTTCAGTGGCAGACTTCTTATGAAGTCTGCTAATATGTGCCAATTACCGTTCAAATCTACAAAAATTATAACTATCAATGTATAACACATAAGCATACAAAATTAATACAAGTAAAGGAAATATACCTTCTAAACAAGAATAAAAATTAAAAAAAAAATTCATCACACAAAAGTTAAAAAAAAGTGCTTTTTAAAAACGAAAAAAAAAGCAGACTTCCAGCAAAACTCCACCCGGTTTCTTTCACGAAGAAGTCTGCCAAAAAGGCAGGGTTACTTTTGCAATTGACCAAATGTTTGACTTTCGTAGTAGACTTCTATATAAAGTCTGCATAAGAAAAAAGTTATTTCTGCAATTGACCAAACGTTTGACTTTTACAGCAGACTTTTTGTTAATGTGAAGTCTGATGAAGAAGTCTACACTACAAACAAAGTCTGCTGCAGGTTATTTCTGCAATTGACCAAAGTTTGACTTTCGTAGCAGACTTCTTTATAAGTCTGCTGAGAGGTTATTTTTGCATTTGACCAATTCTGAATTAAATTAATAGCTCGAACAGTCAAAGGTGGTCAACATCTTGGTCAAATGCAAAAAATAACCTTTCAGGTCAAACTTATCTTTTTCAAACGTCTCCACGAAGTCTGCAGAAAAGGTCAAAGTATAATATTTTCCGGTCAAATGCAAAACTATTCTCGCTTTTCGGCAGCCTGAAATAGAAGTCTAAACGTTGTTTTTTTTTTCATTCAAATGAAAATTCGCAGACTTACAAAGAAGTCTACTTTCAAAAAAAATACCAAAATGTCAATTGCAAATCTAACCTTTTACGTTCACTAGCAGACTGTAAAAGAAGTCTACTTTCGCGAAACATAGCCCAATGTTAAAGAAAAGATTTAGATGTTTACCTCCTTCCAATTTGAACTCGATTAACTTTGACAGAAGTTCACAATTTTAGAGATGCACGAAAAGGAAACCAGCCCAGAACTCGGTTATCCAAGAATCTCACAAAATATATGATTTGCGAATTCCAACATATCAATGTCGACCAAGAAAGAGATTTTTAGATGAAACCAGATAGAAATTTGAAGATAGAATGAAGTTTGAGCGGCCAAATAAGCATTTAGAGCTTCAAGTGCAGATGGGCAAGCATTAACAGCTTCCATTTTGGTTGGTAATGGTAGTTGGCGAAATTGAAGATGATGGCATTTTCGTGAATACTTGATATATCTTAGGATGGTTATATCTTTTTCGAATTACCTAAAAAAATCGATAATTATAAATATAATGGCATTTATGTTATTATATGTGGCTTTAGGGAGAAAGTGAGGAGAAATTGGCTAATATTGAAGAGAGAGAGAAAAAAAGGTTAGATTTGCATTTGACTTCAATTTTGAGGTCATATGTGCAAGAACCCTCTGATATTCAACGTATATTTTTAAGTGAATTATTACATTTTCATATAAAAATTAAAATAGTAGATTTTTAGTCCCTTATTATTTTGGGAGAAAAAAATAGACTATTTGGTACAACTGTGTAGAAGATATTACAAATAATATATCATCAAGAAGAAATCGAAGAAAATAGAAATATTTTAAATGCAAAAACATTGATAGTAAACTTAAAATTCAATACAAATTCTAAAAATGTATTATTGAAAATATAAATTAAATCAAAATCCGTGCATATGCGCGAGTTCTCTCCTAGTTTTTAACAAATTATGCTGAGAAAAAAAAATAACACAGACAATAGCAAATTAAACGTTTCTTATTGACAGTTAACAAAATAGATGTAACCATTTATATCTGTTCAAAATAGATGTAACCATTTATCATCAAACCCAACTCCCATAGCAGTCTAGATCTAAGCCACTGTTTTAGATTCATAACTCTCGATCGACTAGACTGCAACTTCCACCACATTTTTTTTACGGTTCACGACCATTTTCTTACACATTTAATTATTAGCCTACATAGAAAAGAAAAATAAACCAAAGAAGTTAAATCAAAAGGAAACTTTGAGAGAAGACGAGCTAGGAAGAAGCATATAGTTTGTAATGGTGTGGAAAGAAGAAGAACACCGTAATAGATACACTAATAATTACAGATAATAGTAAATTGTATTTCTTTACGTCTTGGTTAAAGTAGGGCTTGATTTTGTAACTTGGCTTTTGATCTATGTCAAATATATCATGTCGTTCCTAAATTCAATTTATATTCCCTTTATTTAATGGTTTAAATGTTTAAGGGTAAGAGACATGTTTCACACTTAATTTTTAACAAAAAAAATAGGGATTAAATGTTAAAACCCAACCGAATCTACTAATGCATCTTCTTTGAAATAACTCATTTAAAAAAAAAATTTGTTTGATTCAGTTTTACTTAAGAATTACAATGTATACAGGGCCGTGCCTATATACAGAAATTAGAAATTTGGCCTACGGACCATTTGTTTTGAAAAAAAAAATTATGCTTAAATTTTTAGTGACTTTAAAACAAATTATAAATTATTATTAAAAACCAAGATATAATAAAAATAAAATCACTAATTCATTCATCTTCTTCGTACATATCATAGTCATAATCATTTTATCATTAATATATTGGAACCTTTTTGACAACAAAACATTATATTTACACTAATTTTTTTTTGCCAAAAACTTACATTAATTTTTTAGTGTTGTTATACATTTATTTGGAAAAACGATGATCCTTATTTTAACATAAATATTTTTTTCTCTATACCACTTTAAATCTTTATAACTCTGGGCACGACTCTAAATATATATATATATATATATATATATATACTAAAGTCGATTTTATTGATCTCGATTTTGGTTTTTGTATTTAAGTATAATAAAATCAATCTGATCATAAAATAATTCGGTAAATATCTAATGTTCTCAGTCATGAAGATTACTTATATATATATACTGTATATAAAGATTCTTATATATAAAAGAGAAGGAAAAAAAAGTTTCTCCTTTAACAAAAATGAGAAAAAAGGTTTCTCATCATCATAGCCACACCCACAAAGACAATGATTGATCTATGCATAAATCTCATATAAGTATTGAAAACTTCTATTATACCCTTTGGAACATGCTCTTACTTTTTGCCAGCCTGCTTACGAATCATTATTTGCCACATCACCACCGTAATTAGAGACTTTGTCTTTTTTGAAACCACGACGTCGTTTTCTTTCTCCCCTGCCACAAACACCTGTATAGATACGTTTACCACGCGTATATATACGGTATATATACTTTACTTTATTGCTTCCTCTCGAAGAAGAAGAAGCCCAAAACAAATTAAAACAGTTCGTCAGAATTTTCCATTTTTCCACCATTGATTAGGAGAGAAAAACATTCGTAGATTGTTTGAAAAGAAACGAAATCTCTCCTCCCAGTAGAAGTTTCTTCCTTTTCAGATCTGAAGCAAACCCTTCAAAAAATCGATTTCTCGATTCATCCGCCATTTTTTTTCTTCTCAAACGAAAGGGGTACACGATCGTTTTTCGTCTTCTGATTTTACTTGGTCTCGTCTTAATTTCGTTGGATCTGTTGAAGTTTTTTTCAACGATGTGTGTTTGATTATGGAGACGAGGGTTCTGATTCCGAGACGTTTCTCATTTGTGTATATAGGTTGATTGCGAGATCGGAGAAAGGTGAAAATGGCGCATAGGGTTGATCAGGAATACGATTATTTGTTTAAGATCGTGTTGATCGGCGATTCCGGCGTTGGGAAATCGAATATCTTGTCGAGATTCACCAGGAATGAGTTTTGTTTGGAATCCAAATCCACTATCGGTGTCGAATTCGCCACCAGAACTACTCAGGTGATTCAAAAATTTTCTCTTAAATTCGGAACCTTTTGCTGTTAGAATCAGAGAAATGTTGAACAAAGAATAGAAGCTGTGACCTATGAGCTTATTTCTTTTATTTGCTTGTTTCTGTTTCTGTTTTTATCTTAAGCTATATCCATGAAGTTTCTGCTTTCTTTGCTATACACAGATTTAGTCCTATAAATTCAGTCAGCTTATTGACATACAACTCCTAGCTGCATTTGCTCGTTGTTCTTCGATTATGCCTTTCGGTTTACGTCCAGCTTCATGATCTCATTATTCTAGTGTAGAATTTCAGGTATCTTTTAGTTCATTTCAAGCGATGGCTCTTGAACTTTAGTCTGTTTAGTTTCCTTGAAGTTGCATCCTCTTTAGTCTGTTGATTTTGGAGTTTAGGTCAGTCTAATGAATACACTGTGTGCTGTCACACAATTATCACAACTGTTTATGTGCTGGCCATAAATCATGACCGATGCTTTTGCTCAATTTAAGACTATGATTGGATGGTCGTGAGGGCCAATATAAGAGAAAACAAAAGAAAGAACAAGATTCTAACAGCTTGTCGCCTTGTCTTCAATAATACGTTGTATTTCCTGATTATTATTTTCATTTGTCATGCACGACCTAGTCCACTTTTAAACCCTCTTGAAGTCAACCAATTATTTTACAAATAAACATAGATTATACACTTGTGTAGTTGGATATGGAGAGATTCATTGAAAATGTTTGATTATCGATGTTACAAATATGATATTCACAACTCGGGAGTCTATTTTGTCAATGCATAGATATAGACTCTTAACTTTTGATTTTTGAAAGTTGAAATATTAGCAATCTTGTCCTTAATATAGGGCTGCTTCACCTCTTGAGATCTAACTGTTTGTTATTGTCAATCTCTGTGATTGTATTCACAGGTGGAAGGAAAGACGATCAAGGCTCAGATCTGGGACACTGCAGGACAGGAGAGGTACAGGGCCATCACCAGCGCTTATTACAGAGGCGCAGTTGGTGCACTTCTTGTGTACGACATCACCAAGAGACAGACTTTTGACAATGTCTTGAGGTGGTTGCGCGAACTGAGAGACCATGCGGATTCCAACATTGTGATCATGATGGCTGGGAACAAATCCGACCTGAACCACTTGAGATCCGTTGCTGAGGAAGATGGTCAGAGTTTGGCTGAGAAGGAAGGTCTCTCTTTCCTGGAGACATCTGCGCTTGAAGCAACAAATGTTGAGAAAGCATTTCAGACCATCTTAGGAGAGATTTACCATATCATAAGCAAAAAGGCACTGGCTGCACAAGAAGCAGCGGCCGCTAATTCCGCAATTCCGGGACAAGGAACTACGATTAACGTTGATGACACATCTGGAGGCGCGAAACGAGCATGTTGCTCTACTTAAACTAAAGGTAATCTGTTTTTTTTTCCGCTTGTTCACTATTCAAAGATTCAAACTTTTGTTTTCACTGGCTTCTCTTCTTTTTCAAGTTTTGGCTGATGAAACGTATAACTAAGCAAAACTATGTAGAATACAACTGTCGATTCACTCTGTTTTTATTATGCTCTTCGATTCGGGTTTGTGTTCAGTTAAAGCTTGTGAGATTCATTAGTCAGTAAAGCTTGTTATTAGTATACTTAAAATCTGCTGTTGCTTTTTTTTTTTTTATCTCTTCTTTGCGTTGGTGTGTTTTCATCATATCTGGTTTATAAAGTATCCTCTCTCTACGAAAAACACAGAAAAAGTCTCTCGACAAAAGAAAAATATATCCTCCCTCTTTTCCATCTCCGGGTTAGGTCGGTTTGTCTTTGCTTGGTTCAATCGAATCATTGGTTCATTTCTGATTAATATAGCCACTACCAAAATCATTTCTTTATGTTACACATTGAGACTGAGCTAATAAATAATTATTTTATTCGAATAAGAGAACTGTTAGAAGTTTTAAAAATCGTCATCTAAAAATTAAGATTCAAAAATTTATGGTAACCAAGAATGTCGAAATACGTAATACAAAAGCAATGTTTTTACTTGCTATGTTAAAAACCTAAGCTGCATAAAATCAGAAGCGGGTACGCGGAAGCATTTGGAAGCGGAGAAGCGGGTTTTAAAAAAAAATTAGAAAGCGATTACGTGTTAAAAGCATATATATATTTATATAACATCTAATATAAAATTATTTTAAAAATGTTTTGAATTTAAATTAAAAAATATAATACATAATATAAATATTGTAATTTAACTAAAGATAATTAAAAATAAAACTTAAAATCACGGATTGATAAGGTAATTAGACTTATAGTATTTTTTTCTCTTAAATAAACAAATAGTTATATTATTTTTCTTTAAAAAATTGAGTGCTATAATTTAGGCTTGAAAATATTAAACCCAACAAATATTAATGTGAGACAAGTTACACAACAACGACACGTCATCTTTTTCTTTAAACCAACCAAATTTGCAGCACGCTTCCAAGTATGAAGAAACACGATTCCATCTTAGAATCGTACGATTCCATCTTAGAATCGTACGATTCCTAGGCGTTTCTAAACATCAAAATTCCGGAATCACAATTCCAATTTGATCGATTCCGTGCGATTCTGACTCTGATTCTGATTTCAATGTGGAATCGGAACTTCTCCAGTGATTCCGTGCAACGTAATTAAAAACAAAGCAATTTTTTATCGGAATTGGAGCTTCTCCAACGATTCCGTGCAACGTAGTTAAAAACAACGCAATCTTCTAAAGTTATTTTTCCGAACATTATAGGAGAGGACCTCAGAAAAATGTTGATCAATTAACACAAATAATAATGCAAGAGTTGTTTTGGACCCCCACTTAGGTTCAGATGAAATAATGGCGAGTCTAAATTCTAGAGCCGACCAAAATGATTTTCGAATATTATCATCTTCAAAATGACGATACATTAAGAACTAAAAAAGCAGTGGTGGAGAAAGAAACGTCATATCAGCCAACTTGCCAAAAAATACCCGATTGCATGCACGAAAGTGAGTGTGTTCATAATAAATAATCATGAAAATTTTACATAGTCAACGTGTGAGTTTTTTTTGTTTGTTTTTTTTTTCTCAACTTTGGGCTAAAACCAAAAAAAAAAATTCTAAATAGTTTTTTACATAGAAACGCAATACAATATGATTTGCAGAATAACATAACATACATTTTTGATTGTTTAGTCATTTCGTGATTTTATGATTTAAAATAATAAAATAAAATATTTTTTCTTTTACAGTCGACAATGAAAGAAAATTTTAAATAGTTAAAATAATTTTAAAATTAAAATTAAAATAATTTGCTTAGGTAACAGTAGATCATAAAAAAAAACTTTTTTATGATAATGGGACGAAAACAGAAGGAGACAAGGAAATAAGAAAATAAAGCAATGGTTATTTTGTCTCAAGGGAGATTGCCAAATTGGCAAATCATATTCGGTAAACGCACCCATCAATCAGAGAAAACTACTTGTGAGAAAAACAAATTCAATAAAACTGGAAGAGAAACAGAGAAAGGCGACAACTTTTTTGTTTCAGATTTTGACAAATGTTTTCTGGGCGATCCAAGCTTGTCCAAAAGGTTGAGACTTTTAGAAGATATATATAAAACGGGAGGTGTATAGGTTAGTGAAATTGAATGGCGCAACAAGGGCAGGGAAGCATGGAACCTGAAGCTCTCGACGACATCATTCGACGTTTGCTTGATTACAAAAACCCTAAGCCAGGGACGAAGCAGGCTATGATGCTCAACGAGTCTGAGATCCGATTGCTTTGCGTCGTCTCCAAAGAGATATTCCTTCAACAGCCCACTCTCCTTGAGCTTGATGCCCCCGTCAAGATCTGCGGTATATATAATCTCTCTCCCTCCGATTTCTCAGCTTCCTGCTTCGTTTTTTGTCTGTTTGATTCATGGGTTTGCTTGCTTTTGGGATCTGAGATTCTTCATGATTATGTTACCTTTTGCCTTTCTCTTCTTTAGTTTTTAGCTAAAAGAAAGTTTGCATTTTTTAGCTTGCTAGCGTTTTCTCTTGAAGGAGAGTTTAATTTTGTGGAAATGTAAATGGTTTAGGAGAAAGATTATTGGGTAGAAATGGATATAATTGAAGTTTTTGTTGGAATGTAGAATGGATAAGAGAGAGTTGAAAAAAGGAAAGTAAAGTAGCTAAAAAGATTGATAAGTTTTGTTGGGGTTAGCCTGTTCTTGGAGTCTTGGAATCTGCCCAAGAGAATCTTGCTAGTCATAAAGGATCCTAATTGTAATAAAGCTTGTACTGTTATGTGAGAAGTAGCAAGTTGATATTCTACGAATTAGCAACTCCATATCTGTACTGCTTTCTTTGTATTCTTTTAGCATTGTTGATAATGGTTCCTGTGGATTCCTAGGTTGATGTGTAACATTTTTTCTTTGTCATATGTGTTGTTTCAGGTGATATTCACGGTCAATACTCCGATTTATTGAGGCTTTTCGAGTATGGAGGTTTCCCTCCTGCAGCAAACTACTTATTCTTAGGAGACTATGTCGACCGAGGGAAGCAGAGCTTGGAGACTATCTGTCTTCTGCTTGCCTACAAGATCAAATACCCTGAGAACTTTTTCCTCTTAAGGGGAAACCACGAGTGTGCATCTATCAACAGAATCTACGGATTCTACGACGAATGTAAACGAAGATTCAGCGTGAAGCTCTGGAAAGTGTTCACAGACTCTTTTAACTGTCTCCCTGTGGCTGCTGTCATAGACGAGAAGATACTTTGTATGCACGGTGGACTTTCACCAGATTTGACCAGTGTTGAACAGATCAAGAACATAGAGCGTCCAACTGATGTTCCAGACTCTGGTTTGCTCTGTGACCTTCTTTGGTCTGATCCTAGTAAAGACGTCAAGGGCTGGGGGATGAATGATCGTGGAGTCTCCTACACTTTTGGACCTGACAAAGTTGCTGAGTTTCTGATTAAAAACGACATGGATTTAGTCTGTCGTGCCCACCAGGTTAGTACCATTGTGTACACATGTTTCGTCTAAGTCGAATCTGCTGCTTAATAAGATATTATTCATTCTCCACAGGTTGTAGAGGATGGGTATGAGTTCTTTGCCGATAGACAGCTTGTGACTATATTCTCAGCTCCAAACTACTGTGGTGAATTTGACAATGCTGGTGCAATGATGAGTGTCGATGAAAGTTTGATGTGCTCTTTCCAAATTCTTAAGCCTGCGGATCGGAGGCCACGGTTCTTGTGAAGAGCAGGTATTTTTTTTTGAGTACTTCTCTTAATTGTTTCAGAGTCTCAGATCTGTTATATTAGTTTATCTGCACCAGTGCTGTTACAGCTCAAACAGATTCTCTCATATTAACAAAGAAAAGTAGAATGATATATTATTGTGTACCATATGAAATGTAAATGTGGTCTTAATATTTTATCTCAATCTATATATTGATGCATGACAAACTTTTTTATTACTGTTCTTTTTAGTTAATCAAACAATATTGATACATTTAAAACGAGACGGCACATTTTATAATGTAACATTTCATATTATCTTCAAATGATAGGTTACTGAAAACAATAATCATGTAGGTATATAAAACATCAGTTTTGCTAATTCCCCAAAATACCATACTTTTTAAAAAAAATTCCAAACTTAGAACCACTAGGTCCACTAGTTAAAAATTGACAATAATAGCACATATTTAATAATAGCGAAAAGACTAAATCCTAAATATAAAGTTGTGAATCCAACCAAACATAATATTTTAACTTTTTGAGTTTATTTGGGTAAACATATATTTTATATAATTGTTTGTGTAATTTTTGGAATTTTAAATTTGATGTGTTAATTCATAATTTGAAATAGAAAAAAGGCGCAAAGGATGTTGAATTAACACAACTAACTCAAACAGATTCTCTCATATTAACAAAGAAAAGTAGAATGATATATTATTGTGTAACATGTGAAATGTAAATGTGATCTTAATATTATATCTTAATCTATATATTGATACATTACATTTTTTTTATGACTGTTCCTTTTAGTTAATCAAATTATCTTGATACATTTAAAATGAGTAGGCATATTTTATGATGCAACATTTCGTATTTTCTTCGAATGATACGTTTCTGAATACAATAATCATTTAGCTATATAAAACATTAGTTTTGCTAATCTATTATATAATAAGAGAATTTTCTCTCCATATAAGGTGTCTACATCAGCAAATTCTCAAATTTTAACATTAAAACATATTTAAAATAAACATTTAATACATGTATATTTATATTTATTATTAATATATTTAATATAAATTAAATAAAATAAAATAAATTAAATAAAATAAATTTAGTATGTATAAAAAATAAGTAGTAATTGGATATTAATACTTAAAAAAACTGTAATACTAAGTGGATTAAAAATATACTCCTATATATTATTAAAAATGATATATTATTTATACTAAAAAAATAAAGAAAATGCCGATAATTAAAAAAATAAAAAGACGATGAAAAAATTAAAGAAAAAAAAAGGAAGAAGAAATATCAAAATATATAAAAAAAACTCAGATAAATGTGAAACAATATCAAAAGAAATGAAGAAAAACAAGAGAAAGTAGAAGTCAAAGACCAAGAGAAAAAAAAAATAAGAGAATGAAAGATACAAAGCTAATGAAGAGGAATTTTAAAAAATACGAAGACAAAGACGTTAAATATAAGGAAAGATAATAAAAAATAGGGGGAATTGCTAAAAATAGGCCACAATTTGATTCCAAATGCAAAAATATACCCCAAATTCAACCTATTGCAAAATAGGTCAGAGGGGTAGAGAAATTACTATTATCTCATATATGAGTAAACAATAAAACGGATGTCTCAATTACGATTATAACCCTTAGAAGTCTGCAAATACTAATGAAGTCTTCTCAGCAGACTGATAAAGAAGTCTACTATAATATTAAATATTATTTTTAAATTTAAAAATTATATAAAAATAATGTTAACTGAAATTTGTTTCTATAAATCAAATGTCAACAAGTATGATCTATAAAAATTATAATTTAATAAAAATGAATCATTTTTAACCATCTAAGATAAAAAGTGAAAAGTTTTAAACTAGGGCTGCAGACTTCTTTATCAGTCTGCTGAGCAGACTACGTATCGAAGTCTAGTCAAACCAGAATAATTAACCTAACCGGAATTTTTTTTTAACATAGTATATAAAGAAACTTACCAGTCGTTACCATAAATAAAAAAACCTAGATCACTGTAAAACGGCGCTGCACTCTGGTCTCTCTCGCCGTGACTCTCTCTCGCAGTAAGCCTTTCCCGGTGCTCCCCATCTCTTCTTTTTTGTTTCTGATGCATATGTTGTTTCTTATATATCACTACATATATTGTTGCTGCAGATCTCAGCCGGCTTCTTCATCGTTCTTAGTTATCTCTCCAGATCTGTGAGTTATTTGCCATTACATTATCTGTTTAGTCCGTATCTTATTGTTTGCTGGTTTGTCCTTTAAAATTGTTCTTTTGTTCTTTTGTCTTTTTGCTTTACTGTTTTTTTAACAGATCTAAGTAAAAATATTTTTTTTTCACAGATTCCGTGAGCAAGTAAGTAAAAATATTTCGATTTTTTCTTTATTTCAAGATGTACCTTTTTTGTTATTTTGTTGTTTAGCAAGTAAGAAATATTTGTTTGGAAAGTTTGTTTTTGTTGTTTTGTTTTTAGCTGCAAAGTTATTATGTGGTCGTATCTGTTTTAGTTTTTTGTTTGTTAACTGCCAAGTTTGTTTGCTTGATCTCTACAGAGTAATGCCGATAAGCTACACCAACAGCTCATCTTCCAAAGCAAGCTATGACAGTGGGTGTGCCAAAGCTGATGGAGACTTTGGGATACCTGAACGATGCTATTGCGGCCTTCGATGTAGATTGGAAGAGTCTACAGCTCCAGAGACGTTTGGCAGGAAGTTCTATAGTCGCCCTGAAATATTAGGCGAATGTGTATAGTTTTAATGAGGTTTTTCTCAATATGTGTATCGTTTTAATGTTATTCATCGAGTATAACTGAAGTTTTCGTTTGTCATATGTGTAGGATAAACCGGGTCACATCTCCAAATGGTGGGATGAAGCCATTGAAGAGCAGCTGACCATTCTTCAAATACGAATTGACAAGCAGAGCGAAAGCATGTTCCGTGACAACCGAACAGCCCTTCTGCAATCATATGAGAATCGGCTGTATGCATTGGAGGATCGCCTTGCTGCAACCGAGAAGACCATTAGCGAGATCGAGGAGTTCATAGGATACATTCAGAGTGAAATTGCTGGAGTGAAAGAAGCACTTGCTAATCGAGGTTCTGATATCCTACTTTGTGTTTTTTTAGTTATTTTTGCAGTAATCTCTTGTGTTTTCATGCGTTGGGATGTAGAATAGAGGACCAAGAGACTTGTGTAACCTTTAAGTAGACTAGGTGGGATAAAACATATGTATTTGACTTCTATGGTGATTAATGTTGGTGTTGACTGTTGCGTATACATTGTTCGTATACTGGGGAATCTATGTGCACTTTGTGTATTGTGTATATATCCAGGCCGTGAGTTAAGGGTCTCTACATACAATCTCTAAAACTACTTATCATATGATATTAATAAAAAACACATTTGGAGACCCATGATGCCCTTAGGCAGACTTCGCTGGAGACTTCTTAAACAGACTTAATATGCAGACTTCTTAGGCAGACTTTTAAACCAGACTTAATATGCAGACTTCTTAGGCAGACTTAATATGCAGACTTAATACGTCGAATAAACTAAACCAGACAGTTTTAAAATTATATTGCAAACCAGTTATAATTGGCTAAACCAATTGCGTTTTAAATAACAAAATCGATAAACCACATTGAACTGGTACGACGGTTATTGAACTGGTACGACGGTTATTGAAATGGTACGACGGTTATTGAACCGGTACGACAGTTAAATAGGTTTCTACGGTCATATATAAGAGTTTCTACGAACACTGTATTAACACAATAAAAAAAAAAACTACTGTCGTTTAGAAAATTTTTCTGGGAACTTGTCACCGGTTTTTACTATACATCCGTTTACCGTTTAAGGTAAGTTGAAATTAATGCCGACATCTCTTTTGGATAGAAGTCATCTGTGTAATTCACAAACCCTAATCTCCTTCGCTTTCTATTCCAGATCTGGTGTCGCCGCCGTCCGTAACTGTTCATTTCCGCCGTCTGTTCATTTCCGCCGTTGGTCGTGGAAAGGTATTTGGCTGTACGAATTTCTTATAATTTGTAAATAAATATCTTTAGGGGTTCCAAGTTCCTAGTCGTTTGGGTTTGTACATCGGTTTTTCTAAAAATCGGACAACACCGAGTAGATATTTCCAAAGTCGGACAAAAATTGAATACCCGTTTCCAAGTTTCTAGTTGCTGTGTTACAGATTTCTGTACTTTTTTTTATTTATTAAACGGACTTGTATAGTGTTTAGGCGAACTATTTTGGAAGTATTATCTCGTAAAACGGAGTTCAAAACGGAGTTCAAAACGGGTTGTGTTTTTTTAGAGAACTTTGTCGGCGGCTAGTTTTTTGAAACTTTTTTAATTACACTATTAGGTCTACAGACTTCAATTGCAGACTTAGTTGGCTGACTTCGTGTGCAGACTTCTTCGGAAGTCTTCATAAGTAGACTTCTTGAATATTTGACTTCGTTTTGCAGATGTCAGAACAGCCAATGGAAAACCCAGAGTTCCCCCGCGTCTCTTCTCGAAAGGCGATGAGCCGTCTCCGCTGAAAAGCATCGGTTACTATAGCGGTGAGACGAAGCTGATGACTGCACTCGAGGAAGCACTCACACAAGATGAGTGGGAAGAGATATTGAACTCTAGACTGGGAGTGTTCTTGAAGTTCAGTCAGCTGGATTTCGGCTGGGCATCTAAACTGGTGCATTACATTCTCGGCATGCAGCTAGTTTGCAAGAAAAAATTTGAGATTTGGAGCCTCGTAGGTCTAATCCCGATCCGCTTTTCTTTGAATGAGTTTGAACATATTACTGGCTTGAATTGCGAGTACGTGGACAACCTCGAGGATCCGGTGGTTGAGATAACTGATGAGATGCAAGATTTTTGGGAGCGATTGGGAGTCAATCAGGAGTTAGGCCCGAGCACTGAAGATTTGATAGAAGCTTGTAAGGAATGCGTGTCGTGGTCTTCCGAGGATCGGTTGAGGCTGGGATACATTAGCATTTATACTAGTTACATTCATGAAAGCCATCTTCAGCTACTCGGGCTAGGTTGGCAAGGCTTGTGATGGGTTTAGATGCGTTTGAAAACTACCCTTGGGGAAGAGTGGCCTTCAAAAACCTGATGCGGTCGGTGAAGGAGAAAGAAATTTGGAGGTCGTCGTACACCATTGAGGGGTTTGTTCAAGTACTACAAGTCTGGGTGTACTTTGCTCTTCCCGACTTTGCTGCTAAATTTGGTGAACCACTTCCAAACGACCCCAATGTACCGCTGATAGCTTACAAGGGATCCAGGGGGAGGAAATTTATGAAAGAGAATATGCTCCGACAGGTAAGTAGTCTGAATTCATATTTGGTTGACTATTATATCGGCAAACTTATTTAGTAGACTTCTAGTGCAGACGTCTGTAATATACAGAAGACTTCTTAGGCAGACTTATTAGGCAGACTTCTTAGGCAGACTTCTTAAGCAGACTTCTTAAGCAGACTTCTTAAGCAGATTTCTTAGTAGATTTCTGCATTATACGTTATATAACACAGTTTTGATTTCCATGTAGACACGCATTAACAACTACGTTGTTAAGGAATTCTTCGACACGTTTCCGCGCTGGGAAGTTGAGGACAACGATGAAGAAGACGAGAGGACTGACAACATCATCAAAGCGATGTATGGTCATTTTGGCCCTAAACAATGGACATGGGAAAGGAGTCATTGGCCTCCAACAGGTGTGACCAAGTATGTCAAGTCCGAAGTGTCTGTCGATCTGAAGAGGCGATCAGAATCAGTTGGTGATCAAGGTAGTCGGAAGCGGTTCTGCCCAGCCTCTAGTGAGGAAGATGAGTCAATGGTCACGATTCTGAAGGACCACATGGACTACTACTTCAACAAGATGATGGATGGGTTGAGTAGTTGTGAATCTCAGATCAAACTACTCAACACAAAGTTGGGATCGGTGGAGCAGAAATTAGAGGCAGTGATCCTCCAAGCTGGAACCGGAGGTACAAAGGAGGATGTGGCTGGGACTGGTGAAGCAGCCGCCGAGGGCGCAAAACCTGCTGGCGATGATCAAACGGCCGCGGACGCCGATCCTAATATCAGGGTTAGTCCAAAACCCGCTCCAAAGAAAAGAGAAAGGAAACCCCGGAAAAAATAAAATTCCATATTTGTTTTCAAACTTCTCATCGAACCTTACCAATCTGTTTTAAAACCTTAGAAATCAAAAAAACGTTGTCACCACTAAATATTTAATGTTTTTATTTGTACTCTTTAATGTTTGATGTTTGGTTTCTTTTCATTGATGTGTGTTTAAATCTTTATATTTGCAGAGTAATTTTATGTCTAAGCAAAACGAACAAACTGATATCCCAAGTGAGAGCGTGAACGATGGTAAGCAGGGAACTCCAGAGCCAAGCGTCGTTATGGTTGATCCAGCAAAATGCGACATCGACTTCGATCAGGTCCAGAAAGATAAACACGAGAAAGGCAAGAAGGCGGCACAACTGGTTGCTCGTGCGAAGAGTGAACGTCTGCGAAAGTTGGCTCCTACACAACAAAGCCCTTTCAAACCCAACAGCACAGCGAAGGAAATAATCCCAAACAAAAATGTCCGAGGGTGCGGATATGATCCGTTTGATATGAAACACGTGAAGCAAAAGATCGGTGTGCTAACTGATTGTCTGAAAAAAGATCCGTAAGTCTTTGTTTTGGAATTAGCATAAAACAGACTTTCTATTGTAAGAGTAGTGGATGATATTGTAAATTTGTGGTGTTTTCAGGAACTATCCGAAGCGGGTAAAATGGTCATCCGTGGACTGGTACTTCATCCTAAGAGTCCCAAAACAATGGCTAGCAAACACTGTAAGTTACGCGAGTGTATATGATATGAACACAACATATTTCTCTCTGCTTGAATAATTGTTTTCATTGAATATGCAGCGCATGGAAGCTGGGATTAACCTACTCAGGCTGCGATTTACAAAGCATCCTGAGTGGTTTAGGTCGGACAGGATAACATTCCTCGACTCTTACTTCGCAACGATGTGGAGGCACAAGTACAAGGAGTTCGTGGACTCTCACGCCAACCCTGATGGTTCAGGCAAGCTCCTTCCAGCTGGCTCGTTCGAGTACTACACTGGCGCAGCGCCAACCTACTGCGTTAGTAACAAGACGTGGGGGTATGATGTGGATGACCTGTACTCGATGTTACACATCATTGATGATCACTAGGTGGCAATGTGGATTTCGATTCCAATGAAGCATATTGTCATTTGGGATAGCCATGCGAATACTCATGCATCAGATATTCAGATTGAGGCTGCTGTGACTCCGATTACTGTTTTGGTTCCCTACATACTCCGTGAATGTGCACCTGCTGAAGACCGTATCAATCTGACTTATGATCCATTCACGTGGGAGCAAATCAAGGGGCATTTGATCCCACAAAACAAACAAAGCGTGACGGTGGCGTTTACTGCTTGGAGTACCTTGAATGCCATGCTCTAGGGATGCCATTTCCTAAGACCTTGTGCGATGCAAACATTAAAAACGTCTGAGACAAGCTGGCAGCTGAGATATTTGACAAGACAAGAGTAACCGGCACAGAGAAGTATGATTATCCATGGTTGGACGTATACGAAGGTAAGTGATATGTCCAACTATGTATATTCTGTACTGAAAGAGAAAGGACTCTCGTTGGTGTGGTATGGTTGGAAGTTTTTGGTTAACCTGCCAGAATTGTTGTTCTCTTATTTAACTGTAATGTTCCTAACTAATTTCGGTTTGTTTAGTAATATTTAAAACAATGGTGTGGTTGTATCTTTTGGGAGGCTAAAACGCTTGTAATAGACTAGTGTGGCTTTTGTGATAATTCACGTACTCTAAGGTTTAGCCTAATCATAGCTTATTATATCGCATAGTTTATGACAAGAACTAAGAATGATCGTACATAGACATGAAACAGATATATTTCAGTAGTGTTTCCCTTTCCTGGTGAAGCAGACTTCTTGTGCAGACTACGGTCGAAGACTTCTAGTTGTAGTCTTCTGTGTAAGTCTGCTATTATAATTTTAGGGTTTTATCTTGACTTCAACGTCTGCAAAAAAAAAACAAAGGAAATTAACTTCGACCAATGTAACCCTTAAAGTATGGGTAACATAACACTTACACAATCTGGTCTGGTATGTCCTGGTTAGTGACATTTCGAACAACTGTACTGCTTGTGGATCTTACGGGGTTTCTTTTGCTTATGCCTCGAAATTTCCAGCCAAGTTTGCCATCTTGACTTCCTCTGCCTGCCTTTTTTACGTCGGACCTTCGGAGGTAGACATTGTGTTGTTTCATCGGTTTTCATTGCAATGCTTGGAGGATATATATTATGCGAGTACGCGGCATACAAGTAATCTTTGGAGTATGTCGGGCATACAAGAGTGGCCAGATGCATATGCATTGCATCTGAAACGGCTATAACATGAGAGCAAGGTATTTTCTCAATATCATACACGCCACACCCACACTTTCGAAGTTCCAAATCAACGACACAGTTATGTGATCCTCCTTTCACATTGAATCGCCAACCATCTATGCCTTCAACCGTCAAATTATCAGCATAATGTGAACGAATTGCCAACAAATATTCAACTCCTCGAGTATGGTTGGTTGGAAGACTCAAAGCATCTTCCCGCCTTTTACAAAACCACTTTGTTAGCTTCGCCCGTAAGTACTCCAACAGGAATACTATGGGAAATCCCCGTGCCCGTTTGAGAGCAGAGTTGATAGACTCTGCGATGTTGCTCGTCTTTATATTGTATCTATCACCTGGAAAGTGAACTCTTGACCACAACTGAATGCATGCCTCCTCCAGGTATGTTGCAAGGTCAGGTTTTATATGCCTTATCTCGTCCATATAACGGTTAAAATCATGTACCGTATATGCATACGCAACACGTTTGACTAAGTACATAAGATGCTTCCCCTTAAACTTAGTGACAATATTGTGTTGCAGATGATAATAGCATATACCGCGTGTTACCCATGGTAAAACAGTCTCACATGCCTTCTTAATGGAATGATGCCGGTCTGAAACTATCACCAACGGATACTCATCTGTAAAACACTCCCGCAATTTTCTAAAAAACCATTCCCATGCGTGATCATTCTCAGAGTCCACTATTCCAAAAGCTAGTGGAAATATCTGGAAGTTACCATCTTGTGTTGTGGCCACTAGCAGAGTCCCTTCATACTTTCCAGTCAGATGACACCCATCGACAACAATGACCCGTCTGAGATATTGAAAACCAGCAATGGAGGCTCTGAAGGCTAAGAATAGGTACTTGAACCTATTCTGACTATCGCGTTCAAGGGCAGTTATAGTACCCGGATTTGCTTCAGCGATCAGTCGCAAATAAGAAGGTAGTCGGCTATATCCATCCTCAGGGGTTTCCCTCACACATTCTTGTGCATACATCAAAGCTCTATGCAAAGTTGTGTAGTCTATTTTCAATTGAAACATCGCCTGCATTGAATCTTTGATGTGTTCTGCAGTAATCCCATTAATTATCCCCACACGCTCTATAAATAACTTTCCAATGTATTTTGGAGTCGTATGCTTTCGGTGAGCCAACCGATCTGAAACAGAACAGGTATGAGTTTTGACATATTTAGTGACCCAAAACGTCTTTGCTTCGTTCTTTACAGCTGCTCTAACCCTCCATTGGCATCCTTTAACAGAACATTTAGCAACAAACAAACGTCTCGATGACTTATCAACTCTGAATGCAAACTTCAACATAACAGCCGTCAACCTGATCTCAGAAATCAGCTCGTCTTTTGTAGCAAAACTTTCGTTTACTTTTATTTTGTCAACCCAATTTCTTTTATATCCTCTTTAAGGAGCCTTCACCGGTTCTTCAATCCGCTCACCCTCTGAATCAGAATTTGAATCCTCATCCTTCACTTTCCCATATTGGTTGTAGTCCTGATCCTCAGAGTCCTGACCCTCAGAGTCAGTACCGTCTTCCTCCTTTACTGAATCGTTTTTGATGTCCTCGTTTATTTCATCATCATCATACTCATCGACATTATCATCTTCACCTTCCTCAGTAGTTTGATTCCCACCTTCAACAGAACACCCATCAGCAGCATCAACACCACCAATACGTCCATCATTGTCCTTGCGACTAGATACACAAAGACGTATAACATGCATCTTACTCAACCCAATCAAGCTCTGTACTTGTCTATCATTAGTAATATGCATAGGAGGGGTATCCGGAGCCATGTGTACTAACATTGAATCTGGCAATGCATAAGTGATAGACACGCTGTCCGTATTTCCATCTAGCATGTAATCATCTAGAGCCATAGCTACGAGTTCTCCATGTGTACAACCATCATTCAAGAAGAACAACCTCCCTCCTTTGCGATTATCCACCTCAAAATGCCACGACTGAGCACCCATAACCCATTCTCCAAATACAACAGGCAATTGAGCCGCCATCTACAAAAAAGGTAAACCACATAAGATAAACCGTGATTTCCAAGTAACATAGAGCAGATCAACGTGAAACTCACGTATATGGAACCAAAAAAGGCAGATCAACATGTCCAAACATATATTTATTTTACCATATACCATTAATTCGAAAACGAATTTTTTTCTTAAAATAATTAGGCAGACTTCAAGTGTTGTCTGCTGTGTTATTCTCCTTCGTCAAGGCAGACTTCAGTGGCAGACTTCTTATGAAGTCTGCTAATATAAGCCAATTACCATTCAAATCTACAAAATTATAACTATCAATGTATAACACATAAGCATACAAAATTAATACAGGTAAAGGAAATATACCTTCTAAACAAGAATAAAAATTAAAAAAAAAATTCATCACACAAAAGTTAAAAAAAAAGTGCTTTTTAAAAACGAAAAAAAAGCAGACTTCCAGCAAAAGTCCACCCGGTTTCTTTCACGAAGAAGTCTGCCAAAAAGGTAGGGTTACTTTTGCAATTGACCAAATGTTTGACTTTCGTAGTAGACTTCTATATAAAGTCTGCATAAGAAAAAGGTTATTTCTGCAATTGATCAAACGTTTGACTTTTACAGCAGACTTCAAAAAGATGCAAGAAGTCTTCTGTTAATGCGAAGTCTGCTGAAGAAGTCTACATTACCAACGAAGTCTGCTGCAGGTTATTTCTGCAATTGACCAAAGTTTGACTTTCGTAGCAGACTTCTTTAGAAGTCTGCTGTCAGCTGAGAGGTTATTTTTGCATTTGACCAATTCTAAATTCAATTAATAGCAGACTTCTAAAGAAGTCTGCTATAAATTTAATTCGTAGCTGACTTCTTTAGAAGTCTTCTCGAACAGTCAAAGGTGGTCAACATCTTGGTCAAATGCAAAAATAACCTTTCAGGTCAAACTTATCTTTTTCAGACGTTTCCACGAAGTCTGCAGAAAAGGTCAAAGCATAATATTTTCCGGTCAAATGCAAAACTATTCTCGCTTTTCGGCAGCCTGAAATAGAAGTCTAAACGTTGTTTTTTTGTATTCAAATGAAAATTCGCAGACTTACAAAGAAGTCTACTATCAAAAAAAATACCAAAAGGTCAATTGCAAATCTAACCTTTTACGTTGACTAGCAGACTGTAAAAGAAGTCTACATTCGCGGAACATAGCCCAATGTTAAAGAAAAGATTTAGATGTTTACCTCCTTCCAATTTGAACTCGATTAACTTTGACAGAAGTTCAGAATTTTTGAGATGCACGGAAAGGAAACCAGCCCAGAACTCGGTTATCCAAGAATCTCACAAAATATATGATTTGCGAATTCAAACATATCAATGTCGACCAAGAAAGAGATTTTTAGATGAAACCAGATAGAAATTTGAAGATAGAATGAAGTTTGAGCGGCCAAATAAGCATTTAGACCTGTGCAGATGGGCAAGCATAAAGAGCTTCCATTTTGGTTGGTAATGGTAGTTGGCGAAATTGAAGATGATGGCTTTTTCGTGAATACTTGAAATATCTTAGGATGGTTATGTCTTTTTCGAATTACCTAAAAAAATCGATAATTATAAATATAATGGCATTTATGTTATTATATGTGGCTTTAGGGAGAAAGTGGGGAGAAATTGGCTAATATTGAAGAGGGAGAAAAAAGAAGTTAGATTTGCATTTGACTTCAATTTTGAGGTCATATGTGCAAGAAGCCTTAAAAAATAAAACTATCAAATTATGAGAATATGAAGATGGAGAAAGAGTATAAAAATCTAAAACAAAAGAAAAAGAAAAGACAATTATAATGAATTAGTTGTTCAACAGTTGCTAATAATAGCTGATTAAAAATAAAAGAGTTGCGGGAAGAATAAACTAAGAAAAATAAAATAAATATTTATAATTAAGATGACATAATAGTAGCAGATAAGATATAAAAGCATATGAAATAAAATTTTATAGAAGTTAATAACATAATTAAGAAAAATTTATTATTATATAGATACACCAGTAAGGATGATTATCAGAACACAGATATTGTTAACAAAATGCAAATTTAAAAATAAAACTATTAAACTAAGAAAAGATTATCAAACAAATTTGTTTTTTTAAAAATAACATATAAAACATATAATAACATGAACATAAATTATAATTCGCGCGAAGCGCGGTCTCAACCCTAGTTCTCTAAATACCACACTTTTAAATTTTTATTCCAAACTTAGAACCACTAGGTCTACTAGCTAAAAATTGACAGTAATAGCACAAATTTAATATAATAGCGAAAACACTAAATCTTAAATTATGAAGTTGTGAATCCAACCAAACACAATATTTTAAATTTATTTTGAATTTATTTTGGGTAAACATGTATCTTTTATATAATTAATTGTGTTATTTTTGGAATTTTAAATTTGATGTGTTAATTCATAATTGAAATAGAAAAAAGGCGCAAAGGATGCTTTACACTAGATAGTGAGATGAGAGATCAACCTAATTCAAAACCGTCCTAATATGGGCCTGATCCAAAAAAGGCCCAGTTTCGTGAGATAGGCGATCTCACGTGATTAGCACGTGGAACCTAACCAAGAGAAGTAACAGAGAAAGTGAGAAACTAGTGGCATCGGCAAGTTTGCATCTTTCTGTTTCATCGATAAAAAAAAAAAAAACAGATTTGATAAAAGAGAAGCCGCGAAATTGGGAAATTTTATGTTTTCCTTTTGGGAAATTTTCCGGTAGCCAGAACGGCGAAAGCTTAGTCACCGGAAAATGTTTCTATCTCAACCTCCTCAAGCAATACAACCGACTTATTATACCGTTAACTTCTTACCTCGCTGTTCTCCGAAGCCACCGTCGTGTTCCGTTGCCGTAAACAACCCATCGAAAACTTCCGCCTCCGACGGAGCTAAAGCCTCTAATAATCAATTAATTCAATCATTGTGCAAAGAGGGCAACTTAAAACAGGCGCTTCGCGTCTTGTCTCAGGAATCAAGCCCGAGTCAACAGACTTACGAGCTTCTGATTCGATGCTGCGGCCATCGAAGCTCTCTCTCTGATGCTCTTCGCGTTCATCGGCACATTCTGGATAATGGGTCCGATCAAGACCCTTTTTTGGCGACGAAGCTTATCGGTATGTACTCAGATTTGGGCTCGGTTGATCACGCACGGAAGGTGTTCGATAAAACGCGTAAGAGAACTATCTACGTCTGGAACGCCTTGTTCCGAGCGCTTACACTGGCTGGTCATGGAGAAGAAGTGTTGGGTTTGTACTGGAAGATGAACAGGATCGGAGTCGAATCAGATAGGTTCACATACACTTACGTTCTCAAGGCTTGTGTCGCGTCGCCGGAATGCACGGCAGATCATCTGACGAAAGGGAAAGAGATTCATGCGCACCTTACCCGACGCGGATACAATTCGCATGTTTACATCATGACTACGTTGCTGGACATGTATGCTCGATTCGGCTGTGTTGATTATGCCAGCCATGTGTTCGATGAAATGCCAGTGAGAAACGTTGTTTCTTGGAGCGCTATGATCGCTTGCTACGCGAAGAACGGTAAAGCTTTCGAAGCACTGAGAACTTTCCGTGAAATGATGACTGAAACCAAAGATTCATCCCCGAATTCTGTGACTATGGTGAGTGTGCTTCAAGCCTGTGCTTCGCTTGCGGCTTTAGAGCAAGGGAGGTTGATTCATGGGTACATACTCAGACGTGGGCTTGACTCAATATTGCCGGTGATCAGTGCTCTTGTGACAATGTATGGTAGATGTGGTAGGCTCGAAGTGGGACAAAGAGTGTTTGACCGTATGCATGAGCGGGATGTTGTATCCTGGAATTCTTTAATATCAAGCTATGGCGTTCACGGGTATGGAAGGAAAGCAATTCAGATATTCGAAGAGATGCTTGCCAATGGAGCTTCCCCGACTCCTGTAACATTCGTCAGCGTGTTGGGAGCTTGCAGTCACGAGGGTCTTGTTGAAGAAGGGAAAAGACTGTTTGAGTCCATGTGGAGAGACCATGGGATAAAACCACAAGTGGAGCATTACGCTTGTATGGTTGATCTGTTAGGTCGAGCAAATAGGTTGGACGAAGCAGCAAAGATGGTACAAGACATGAGGACTGAACCAGGGCCTAAGGTTTGGGGTTCCCTTCTCGGGTCTTGTAGAATTCACGGTAATGTTGAGCTCGCAGAGCGGGCGAGTAGAAGGCTATTTGCGCTTGAACCGAAAAATGCAGGGAACTATGTGCTATTGGCAGACATTTACGCAGAAGCTCAGATGTGGGATAAGGTTAAGAAAG